GGCCCGCACAGCTGCGTCGACGTCGCCCACAGCGCCAGCGCCGCCTGCCACGCCGGCGGACCTGCGGCACAGGAAATCGCCCTTATGACCTGGGCTCGGATTCTGATGACTTAAGATTCTTTGAAATTGACTTTAAAAATAACAGGAACATTTTAAAAAATACTAAACAATTTTTATGAAAATGTTTATTTATTCAATGAATTTTAAATTTACTAACAAAGTATTTATTTAAAAATTTTATTTACTATAAACTCTGTATTTTAGGAGCAAACATAATCTAATAATATAGCTCCGATATTCCAACCGTCAGTTTCAAAAGGCCCAGGAATTTACCGAAGATTCGTGTAATTGTGAGAGTTAGAAAAGCAGAGTTCACTGCAGTAGTGAATTTCGTCATGAACTGATGATACAAAAAAAATTGTTTTAGTCTGTCATTGTAAATTCACGAAATAGTCACTAATAAAAAATACGAAAAGGAAACAAAATGCGTATAAATGACAAAAATGACGCATAGGTCCAAAAAATGACTTACAACTGAAAACTGGCAAAAGAATTACAAAAAAATGTTCCAATAATTAATCATTTGTATCTCCTATATGTTGTGATAAACATTGATTTATGAGTTAGCTACGTCTACAATGCACCAATAAAAAGATGACGTCATCAGAATCCGAGCCCTGCTTATGCCGCTTCTGAGTTTTTAAGTCATATTGTGATCTAGCAAAAGAAACCAGGAGAGAAACGCTTTTTTAAACATTTGATTATTTCCTATAAGCATACAATTCTAGTGAATATGAAATTTAATTGTACATTAGAAAAATATTGAAGTATCGTTAGTAATAAATTAGAAATATAAAAATAGATTTATCATCAGGCTTGACAATTTTAATGAGATGAATGGCAATTTTTTATTGTCAAAAGTTATACAAAGTCGGGAAAGTTTTAAGTGATGGTAGTGGTTACCATTCCAACTCAATTGTACAAATGTCCATACGTAATGTTTCTGTTCTTGATTTTCATAAATTCCATATTGAGAAAACAAATCTCACACAGATATGTAAATTTGAACATTTCACGTGTGGACTAACCGAGATCAATGTTCGTTATTATACACCCACGAAAAACATAATGAACAGAAACTCTCTCACATAGACAGTCACACAATTTACCACAATCAGCTATGTCAGTGACAATTGGGGCTGGATTATGCAACCTGCTGTTTTTGAGATTCGTCTGACTTTCTGGAACTTCAGGTCCACTAACTTGAGCACGACTGTCATCTACTGAAAAGTTCCTCACAAGCTACTTACTAGTCGCTGGCAATCGTCGGTTAGTCGTTCTCTGCCCTACTGCATTCCGCGACCAGTTTTCCCTCACCTTCGCTTCCCAGCTAATCCCCTTTTACTTTTAGTTACCTGGGAAGGCGGAGCTCGACTCCATCCCGATTCGTCATCCGGTGTTTCGGAAGGAGTACACATTTTTCTTAAGTTTCCATTCATAAGTACCGCAAATGGCCGTTCTCGCGCCAGGCCAGTGAAAACCGCGAGCACAGGTGAACATGGAAAAATCTGTGGAATTATGTTTGTTAAGTCAGAGAGGTAAGAAGATGCTCGTGAAAAAGTGATTTCAAGTTTTATTTCAACAAACTTTGAAACGATGGTTTTCAACGTTGACAGTGCTCTAAAAGGACATGGCAATGCTTCTTGTAAACAGTCATAAGTTGATAAATTATAAACGATCAATGTGGTTGTAAGCAGGTCTTAGAAAACGCAGAAATCATTCTAAGGAGGAAAACAGAATGGGAGTAGATAAATGTCTTAGGAATTGACCGCGGGATGCAGTTTGCATACACGGGCACCACAAGTAGCGCGCTTCACCATAGACCTCAGCCGACCAAGCGCATCTAAAAATTCGAGCAGCTCGAGGTATCGCCTCTGGGTAACATGAAACAAATCTGAATCGAAACCTGCAGATTGCTGTGTATTTACCTGCTGATTTCGCAGTGTGCTTTAAATACTCGTAACTCGCATTTGTTCGTGTATTGATCAAAGAATACTGTATCGCAGTGTGGCCCCTGGGCGAAAGGAAGCGCATTTATGCAGTACCGCGCCTATATTAAGGGTTAAAATGGAGAGATGGGATAGGTTTTAGGTCCGATTTACACGGTTTCTCTTGACGAACGAGTTCAGACTTTTTTGCGCACGAACCGAGAGGCCCTGGAAGTCTTAATGTGCACGCGCATATTCGCTAAAACTCCGGAATCGTTCATCCGTCACAAGGAATCATGTATATCGCCACGTAGGGATTCTCGTGGTTAGGGAAATGCTCCCCTTCGTAAGATACATAGAAGGGGATAAGGAGGGAAGATTCGATGCGAGGGGTGGGGATACAGCAAGCCGACATGAACATCTCACGTCCCAGCAGGCGAGGGACACTCCAAGCTCCCGGCTGCAACCTTCACTATTTGCACGGTCGCAGGACTTACGAAACCTGAAAACTGAATACTCCATACACGCAGGGAGATAGTTTCATCGATCAACACCACGCGACTGCAGACGCAATACCCTAACAAATGGGCGCGATCTCTCCTTCCTCTTCCTAGTCCTATCCTCACCCCTTACTCACACACTTATACTCAAATGCACTACACACTCCGGGAGACCAGCGGGGAGTTTGAAGTTTGTCCAGACTGGGGCTCTGTCCCGATGGTGGGGGATACCTGATTGGGGAAATCCCCGCTAGCCGACAGGAAGGTCGCTAGCGGATCTCGCCAGCCAACCGAAGAAGTTCACCGCCACCTCCAGCGATAAAAAACACGCACTACAGTTGCGGGACTAATGACTTTAGCAGTTGACGCGCACGGAATCATTAATCAACCATCCATGGAAAAGGAGCTTAGAGCTTGTCCCGACTGGGACGGTGCTCCAGTGGTGAGAGATACTAGGTTAGGGAAACCCCCGCTAGCGCCGACGAGTAAGTCGCCGCCAGATCTCGCCATCTAGCGGGAGCTCACCGCTATCTCCCGCGGTTGAAACGCGCACTCCGTGCGTTACGACCCGAATGCAGGGTGAGGACTGAGGGACTGACCAGTGAGGGCGCAGGCGAGGCACGCGGCCGCCGTGGCCGCCGCCGCCGCCGCCTCCGCCCACAGCGCCAGCGCCCGCCGTCCGCCGCCCGGCCGCGCGCGCTGGGCGCCGCCGCCGCCGCGCCCGCCGCCTCCGCCGGCCGCCAGCAGCGCGCCGCCGCCCGCGCCGCCCGCGCCGCCCGCGCCGCCCGCCGCGCGCGCCTCCGCCGACGCCTCGCCCAGCACCGCCTCGCGCAGCGCCTCCGCCCGCGCCCGCGCTGCCGCACACACACACACACACACATGCTTCATCACACTGTACTTGGCCCTTTTTTTCGCGTGTAGGCCAACTTGGACCACGCGTGCAACCCGCTTTAATAGGTGCAAATACGTTTATCTGGGGGGATCAGCATTTTAGCTGAATCCCAATTTTTATTCCCCAAGGTTGTTAGCCCTGTGGGTATGGATGAAGAGATGATGATGATGATGATGGAGGGGATGATGATGATGATGATGGGATGATGATGGTGAGGGATGAAAGGACGGCACACGCATACACACATACACAAATGCATCCATGCCCAAGGCGGGACTCGAACCCGCGGTCTTCTGGTCCGAGACCGCTATGGCACTACTGCCCGAACGATTTCGGGCATTTGACGGCATTTGACCTTTATTTTAAAGACAGTAAAATTTTGTGTTTTTGATAGAAGATTTACAATGAAAATAATGAAATATGAATGTAGAATACTAAATTGAGTAATGCATAAATAGCGTCGTTTCGGAAATCATTATTTCCATCTTCAGGCCGGAGTTGAATTGTCAAAAAAAAAAAAACAAAAACAAATAAATGTTTAAAATACTTTATTGTATTCTATTTAAAATATTAAAGATGGAGATAATGATTTCCGAAACTATGCTAAATGTCATTTATGTATTACAAATGTTATTCAATTGCATACATATTTTGTTTTGATGTAACTCTGCTATCCAAAACGCTGAATTTTTCTGTCTATAAAATAAAGACAAATACAGTGTGACAAAGTTTTTTACATCTACAGACAGAAAGAAAAATAATAATTTAATAATTTCTTGACTTTTCTCACTCACACCCGCTCGCGCCAGTTCTGAGTCTCAAGGACATTAGTGCATTTAATGGAGCTGGGAAGTATGGAAAAATGCCTTTTTATAATTGCTACGATCAAATGACTTTCATTTTTTTTGACTTTTGTTTAGCTGTTTTAAGACCAAAATAGGCAATTGGCCTCGGTGCCACTAGATCCCGGGATTCGTAGTCGGTTACCCAACCAGGAATCCGCGATGTCTCGTATTTGCTTAACTTTCAAGTCTTCACGTCGGATTCGGCTAAGGACGCCGGTTTTCGTTGCCATGGCCTTTCAGTAGAACCATCCAAGCATTCGCCGGAATGGACGAGGAAAACCATACACACTACGAAAGTTTAAGCAAATCGAGTCTCCGCGCGGTTCTGGAGTAGTGACCGACAGGGAACCCGGCATCACACGACGCCGAACCCCTAGTCGAAGTGATAAAACTCAATGACTATAGTGCGATTTTTCGAACTATTTTTTCGATTTTTCTCTGGCAGGTATCAGCTGTTGACGGTTTCATCTAATTGGAAGCTTAAATGTCACTACAGTGACGTCATTACGGTGACGTTCAAGCTCCCGATTGGATGAAACCGTCAATAGATGGTACCTGCCAGAGGCATTGTTCGAAAAATTGCATATTACCACTTATGATGACTATACTGCGGGAGATGAAACTTTGGAATTGACATCTACAGAACACATGCCCCAAATGTACAAGCACGCGATGTCTACCGGCTTCGATACAGCTTTTCACTGCACATCAGTGACGCGACATCACGACCTTCAACCATCGGAAATCCAACTCATCGTTTAAAATCTATCAGGGCTTATGTTTTATTCAGGTCCAAGACTGGGCGCGGCGCCCACGCTCGTAACCAAACTAACGCTTTTGGCCGTGCTCGTGGCGATGTATACAATTCATCGGCAACGCGGGTCGGCGGATACTGTCGTAACTGACACCGGATTGGCCCTTGTGCCAAGGCCGTCGCCAGGGAAACGTAGAGACGCCGCCAAACGCTCATCTCCCGCAGTCGTCGGCCGCCAGCAAGCGCGAAAAGCGCGCGTCGCGCCGGGGGGTACTGACCGTGGTGCAGGCGCGGCGCGCGCGCGGCGGCGGCCGCCCAGTGGAGGCGCGCGGCGCGGCGCAGCGCGGGGGCGGCGAGCGCCAGGGGCAGCAGCGCCTCGGGCCGCGCCCACGCCAGCAGCGCCAGCGCGCCCGCCCACGACGCCGCCGCCTGCAACCAACCCGCTCTCCAATAGGGGGCCCGGCACGTCCATACACACGGCGTGACCCAGCCTTACGCCCAATGTTTCGTAACACTATTTTTTTAAAACATTTTTTAAAATAATTCCTCTTTTCAGTCTCATACTAGAATATTGAATATAAACCTATTATGTTTTGATGAATTAAACAAATTAAAGTCATTACGTGTAAATTATTACAATAAATATAAATATTTTTCATTTTTTAAACTAATCTGTATGATTACAAAAAAAATCAAAACTTATTCTAGAATCCAGTTAATTTGGAATGGTTGACTCTCCAAAAAGCGACCTCCACGAGGGCAAGTAAGCGGCTTTGTTGTCAAACATTTTCACGCCGTCCTTCAGGTGTTCTTCCTTCACCCAAAAATTGTCCCCAATCCACTTGTTAGGTGTAAACAACTAATTCTGACTAAAGTTCTTACTGTAACAATATAATTGTTATTACTGTAATATAATTTCTTTTTACTTCTTGTATATGAGGGAGGGTGTGTTGTCGCGAGCAAGGGAGAGGAGGTATTCAAATTTGCGGTATGTAATTTATGGACGGCCCCTTATTAGTCAAAAGAGAAAGTCCAATATATGCCTGGCGAGAATATCGGGCGCCTAGCACCCGCGCTCTGCCGAGGTCTATACTTCACAACTCATCAGGGCTCTTCAATTCTCGATCTATATTTTTCACGATATTAATAGTCGTTAGTACATTGTTATACAGCACATTAAGACCTACCCCTACCTTTTCGCTTCCGAAAATAATAATAATAATAATAATAATAATAATAATAATAATGTTACAAAAATACAAATAACAAATTATTTTTTTCTGAAAACAGTTGAATTCTGAGAAGTCTATCTCTGAGTATCACCGCACTTTGATAGCCGACCATCAAAATAATTTCATAAGTCAGGATCTACCTAGTGTGAAGACTCATTAAAAGCACTTGAGGTAGGCGCCAAATATTCTAACTTTTATTTGTATTAAAAAAATGCATCCTGTCTCAGCACTCACAGCATTTTTTCCCGTCTTCTGGGAGGCTTTTGTCAGCCGCTTGTTGAGAAAAAACACGAGCTACAACGGATGCAAAGAAATTTGACACCGCGACACTCAAATACTCGATGGGCTGGGAATGAAATTCGAGACAGCTTTCTATAAACATTAATATTGTTCTCAGAAGAAGAAGTATAGCAAGCACCGCAGGCTGTCTCATGTATTTTGATATCGAGAGCAAATAGAAGAAACGTTATAAAGTGTGTATAATGAGTCCAAAAAAACGGCCAGAAAGAAACGAAGTTTTGACGTTTAATTTAAAAAGAAACGCGAAGGCGAATGAAGAGGTATCGATGATCGATGTAAGGGATCCCCTATTTTACCATTCTTTTCTTCTCTATTCTACCATTCTTTTTACCTTTTCTTCTTCTTCTTCTTCTTCTTCTTCTTCTTCTTCTTATTATTATTATTATTATTATTATTATTATTGTTATTATTATTGTTAATGTTATTATTATTGTTAATGTTATTATTATTATTATCATCCACATCATTAATACTTTTCGAAAGTTGCCGTCTACCCTACCAGCGCATGACTCACATAAAGGGGAAAGTATTGAACGGAATTTCAGATCAGTTTGGAGGTCGAGGATTAGAAGGGAATATCGTAGAAGGGCCGTAGCTCGATTGCATATAGAAGTGTTACTGCGCAGTCTCCCGGAAGTGATCAGGGAAACCATCACTCAAAAAAGTCAACCTACGACTTCGGTCCCGGGAGGCACAATAAACTCTCTGATATTCATCTCGTCAACCAAAATTACCATTCACCCAGGATGGAATCAGCTATCGGCAACCTCGGTGCTCAAATGCTGCCTGACACATTGCAGCTATCAATTCTAGTTTTCACTTAATATATCACCGAATTAAAGGTGGTTCACAAAATATATCTTATTGAAGGCGTTGAGTTTTGCAGCTCTTCCACAATGCAGTTCCTACGTTACTTTAAAAGATATGAATATATTTCTCTAAACCATCCACAACACTTCCATTGACAGAATATGGAAACTATTGTCATAAACATTTTGGGAGCTTATAGAGAACCGCTTCAATGGGTTGTATTTATTGCAATTGTTTTTGAGAAAAAATGGATCGTATGATGTACCTCCGCGACGGACAGAAGCTTTCGTGGCAGTTCCTCGTCCAACGGCGTCAAGTCCGCCCCCAGCGCCCGCAGGGCCGCTCCTGAGCAGAGGCAAAAGAAGGCGGTTGCAGACGGAGGTGGATTAATACACAAGCAGACGAAGTACGTGCTTACAGCACTACCCCCCCCTAATAACCTAAAACATTATAATTTCTCGTAAATAGTGCAAATATTTTAGTACTAATGTTTAAAATAGAAAACGTTATACTTTCGTTTCACATTCATATTATACTCTTTGATCAGATTTTAAATCTTAGTAAGGTCTCCCTTGGTTCAGTCATTAATCCGACTCTGATTACGGAACCAGAACTTGTACAAGGGAAAACCAAACCGTGTTCGCAAAGAAAGAAAAAGGATAACCCGTAGAGAGAATGTACTGAACCATTTCCAGTTGCCGTTATTACAATAATAAAACCGGCTGAAACGCTCACCGCCAATAAGTTGTCATTTTCATTCATTTAACAGCAATTTGGCTGTGGAACCAAGTGATTTTTGTGAGGTACGCGCAAATTCTTCCGTGTTTAAGCGATCACAAACATACGCGGAAAAGAAAAAGAGGGAGAGGGTGTTAGTTTTCGCCAGAGCCATTTCTGACCACCTAGATATTTAAGCGTACTATTCTCATACAACTACGCCCTGCATGTCATAATTTCCCTACTTCTCCCTCCCTTTTTCTGCACCTTTCTCGTTTCATCTCTTCTAACGTTCATTCTCGCTCTTATCCTTCTGATATACTTCCACGAATTCTTCTATTTTCTTCTTGTTCTTCTCTGACACTTAATCGTATTTCACAACACATAACAATCCCTGCCATTGCTCTCCTAATTACTTATTTATTCTCCCTCTCTCCTCTCTCCGTACGTATCGTTTGTAGACACTGTGATAAACTCTACACATTTCCTTTGATTAATGTTCTTTCTCACTCTGCCTCGTATAGAAAATCTCAATCAGTTCCTCGCTTTTCATTGCTCTCGCCCTCCTTCTCTTACTATCGCTCTCTCTTACTCTCACCCTCTCACACTCTCGTCCTCTCATTCTCAATCTCACTCTCGACCTCTCCCTCTTTCATATTCACGCCCTCCCGTATTCTCACCTTTTTACTGCGAATCAAATCAAATGCGATCATTTCGCCCTGAGGAAGGTCGCAGTATGCCGGCCGAAACTTTGACAAATATGCTTAAGACCCGACATCTTTCGGACAGTCAAATATCCATACACTGACTCCGGCCGTGGAATCTTCGCTTTCATAACATTATCCCCCTCCTTCCCCCCATGCCTTCTCCCTCTGGCGCTCGCCCTCTGCTTCGCTCACCCCCTGACCTGCGAGGCGCTCGGCCGTGGGCGGGCTGGTGTCGAGCAGCGCCCTGGCGGCGCGCGCGTGCAGCTCCCTGGCCGGGCGCAGCGCCGCCGCCGCCAGCGCCGCCCCCCGCCGCCGCCAGCAGCGCCGCCCCGCCGCCTCCAGCGCCCCCGCCGTCCAGCGCCACCCACGCACCCTCCCCGCCCCCGGGCCGCCGCCGCCGCCGCCTCCTGCAACAGGCCCAAATATGGACGTGCAAAAATGGACGCGACAATAGTGAGGTTTTCAAAGTCGTTAAATTGAAAGACGAAACGCGGCAGTTCTGGATAGAATTCCGCTGCTCATGTGACAGCAACCAATGACGGGACTTCGATTGACGGGACCGTGTCATTCTCCCCGTTTTGTGGTCTACGACAAATGTGTATGAAGTCGTAGGCTTCCACGGCCCGAGTGTTGCGGATCCTCTTGGCTGTCCGTGTGACGTCGCGTCGAAGGCTGTGGTGCCGACGCTTCGACCATCTTGTCGTGGTCTTCCTCAGGGCTGATCTGCCGACCAAGCGCTGGCAGACCAGCCCTGAGGAACACCACGACAATATGGTCGAAACGTCGGCACCACAGCTTGTGATGCGGCGTCACCCGGACAGCCAAGAGCAAATGTGTTCGCCCTCACCACCAAACACGAATTTGATACTAATATACAATAAGCTTGGAAATAATAAAATATACAATATCCCTTGTACGAATATTTGGCAGGAGCTTTATCGTTAATTTTTACCAATGATAATTCAGAAATAATCGTTAACTAACGTATTTATTTAGGACATGGAGGTTATGTGTGTATTGACGTCACATTAATTGTCAAGAAAAAATCATTAATTTATCTACAGACGATTTAATTGACATAAATTTCCCATTCGGAATATATAAAATATAACGCATCCCCATAGAAAAGTGTCTTAATTCAAAAAAGGTGATTTTTCATGAGAGAACTTTAAAGGTTTGTAATTACATTATCAAATCATGTTTATGAAGTACGATCATCGCCAATAACAGACTAAAATAGGCATAAAAAGAAATGACACTGTTCTAGGATACAAGATCATAAAATTTCACTTTAAATAATTAATGTAACGTCTTAAGCATGTTAAACTTTCACAACTAAGTAGAGATGTAGCTTACCTGAAGATCCGAGGATCGCCGCGTGCGCTGAGGCGCATGTGCGTGTCTGATCTGAAACGGGAAGGGCTTTGACTGCGAGCGGGGGTGAGTGTGCGAAGGTAATTTGGCACTCGCATCGTTCTCTGCCGCCCGTGCTTTCGCTTCCTGCAGCCGTTCCTTCAAGGCTTCCAGTCCCACCTCTTCATCTACATCTACGAAATTGTCGATGTCTTCGCTTTCCTCTTTGTGGTCCACCGGTGAGCCCGTCTCGTTGCCGACGTCATTTATTAGTTCCGTGTGTTCCCGGAATTCCGTTGAGTCCTGTTCGCTTTCATAATCCAGGATGTTTTTCGCAGCGCCTCTCTCGTCGCTGTAGTTCTCGTAGACTAGATATGTTTCTATCGCAGTCGTGTCGTTCTCTTTCCCCTCCACCGTGTTAGCTCCGAATCTCTCAAATCCGTGAATTTCATCGGAGTGATCGTATTCGTGAAGAAGTTGCTGAAGTGACGGAGGCATGGTTGGAGGGTGCAGAGGTTGTACTTTGGCATGAGGAACATCTGTTACTGAAGGCTGCCCAGCGGCCGACCTTTGCAAAGAAAATGTCTTAATTAGTGATTAGAGATGTAGTGACCGCGTGTGTAGGTTTCTGTTTAGAGTAAGTTTGCCACTCTTGTTGAGGTAAGCAATCAAAGAATTTTTCCTCATGTTGTCTTACAAGATTATTACATACTCGCTCTTTCGTTTTCTGTTTTTTCTCTCTCTTTCTTTCTCTCTTTCTCTCTCACTCTTCCTCCCTCTCGTTCTCTATTTGTTTCTCCCTCTCTTTCTCTCTCTTTTTCACTCTTTCTTTCTCTCTTTCTTTGTCTTTCACACACACACAAACATGCATTGTTTAACGCACACTTACGAAACACACGCTTATGAGTTCGTATCAAATTTCTCGTAGAGAAATGAGTAGTGCCCTAAACAAACAAAAATAAAGCATAGCAGTCTGCATGAAAGTGCGTAAAGGAATGTGCTATTGTAATTTATTTCCGCCGAAGCGCCGAACGAGGAAACAATGTAAACGAATGCCCAAGAAGATCTCATCCTGTCGATTACGGCGCGAGGATGGTTTCCTTGAGACCTTTGGCATAAAAAATAGAGGTTTTAAGTCCCTGAAACTCTTCGAGATATATAAGTATTTAAATTTCAACAATGCTGCCCGAATGTTGCGGGTTGCATTTGACACAAATTTGTAGATGCTTTTTTTCAACAAATAATTTTCATAATTTGAAAGTTCAAGTGCAGTTCGTCAAGTCTCCGTGAAATTTATCTTCCATTAGAGACCTGACTTACAAAGACGAGTTTCGCGTGAGAGCCACAGAGGGCTCCTATTGTACTGAAATGATCCATGAGAGGCCAGCCAAGAAGGGCAGTCTCACCACGCGAGCAGCGCGACGTCGGCCGCCAGCAGCGCGGCGACGGCGGCGGCGAGCAGCGCGGCGGGCAGCGCCCAGCAGAGGAGCGCCGCGGCGCGTCCGCGGCCCAGCGCCAGGAAGCCGCCCACGCGCAGCGCCGCCCCGAGAGAGCATCTGTTTTATGTATGCCACATTCCACCAATGAATATACCACACCGGCATATATAATTTTATGTCTTAAATTAAGGTAAAAAACAGCTCAGACTATCCTTTTCTTCCCTTCTTCGTCTAATTAATTAAATTATTAATCTCAATTTAATTTTATTATTAATTTATCTGTCCCTCTCTGGCTTCTGCTTCTCTCTTTTCTTGTTTGTTTTCGGTCTCTCGTTGTTCCGGTTCTTGTTTGGGTTTGCCCCTTTCGCGCCCCGAAAAACTCTGCCCTGCCATTACCACTGGGCGCCCCCCCCTCCCGCGGCTGCACCCGCCTCTCGCCCCCCAGGCCGCGCGGAGTCGTCGCGGACGGCGGGGGCAGTGCGCGGCGGCGTCGGAAGGCGCGACAGCAGGGCGAGGACAGCGGCGCGAGGGCGCGGGCGAGGGCGCGGGCGAGGGCGCCGGGGCGAGAGCCGACGGCGAGGACGAGGCCGCTGCCCTGCTGGCGGAGCGCGCCCCCGCGGCGCGC